ACACAGTACAATTACTCTCAACTACACCACCACATTCAAAGAACAGATAATGACCATAAGAATCCACTTCTCTCCTTTATCTCCCTGTTATTTAAATATTAGCACATATTTATAGCAACATGCCCTTTCAACTATTTGAACTAAATCTTTCCCCATAATGTAGGCCTATGGTCGACGCAGCAGTGCCAGTGTATGATAGTATGCCACCTGCTGTTTGTGTTTTGTTCAAGATATTGAATTTGCTAATGGTCATTTAGTGAACTGTTAGCTAATGGGACAAAAGGTCTTCTGGCTCATGCCAGAAAAGTATCACATAATTTTTCTTTTGTGTTTATCCAATATAAATGGGATAATTCCAGTCACAGATGAGAAAAATCCAAGCTCAGCCTGGTAGATGTAGCTAGTTTAGCAGGTCTCAGTAGCTTCTGTCTTAGCTTATGTGGTGTAGTTAAAAATCACATATTTAAATGTGTTAAATTGTTATATATTACAATGATATTGAATACATTACATTGATTTTCATATAAATATTAATATCATATGAACAGACAGCTGGCAAAAACAAAAACATTTAATTCATGTAAGAGAGGATGTAAAGAGAGCAGTGTCCAAATGTATACTGCAGTTGTACCTGTATGTTACATACTATCTTTATCAGTTTATGAACATGGGGAAACCTAGAAACTGAGGTTCTCTATCACATTATCACCAACTTGAAAACTACATATCTTTTTGATGGAACAACTAACAATTCATAAATATCTGAACCATGACAAGGGGCCAACTTTTTAATTGTAAACTTGGAAGCTGGTGATTTAATCTTCGCCAATGTGTTATATTTTATAACCTTGTGTTTTTTCTTTGGAATGTCCATTATCAGGGGGACACACATTTTCTTTAAAACAGACTCACTTTCACCAAGCCACCAGCTGAGCTGAGACACATTTGTGACTTCAGGGTGAACAATTTGTCAGATATACAACAATATCCAACATTTATCTCATGTTTTGGATTATTTTGACTATCGTCAGCATCATGGCAAGAAGAGAGAGAGCAGAGGTAGCAGGGTAAGATGTTCCAACCTAGACACAACACCTTTGATTCATCTCTGCACTTAAAGGCAAGACTACTTTTAAAATCTATTTTTCCCAAAAGCTTCAGTAAATGAAACAAATTTATTGAATTCAATGATAAGATTAAATTTCCTACTAATTATAAATGAGTGTGGCGATAATTTGAAGTCATTCCTCACATTCAGTCTGTGAATGGCCGACTGGATACATAGTTACCTGAGATCTATGTTTACCGTTTCTCTTTTAGTCACATTGTCATATTGAGGAGAAGAAACACACACCTATTGTGTGATATGACAGTGTGCTCATGTATTTCTTTAAATTAATTCAGCACAGGGTTATAAAAAGGAGGTGGAACACCTGAGGAGACAGATGGAGGCCGAAAGCATACACCAGCACTTTAACAGAACCTGAAAAGTGCATAAAGTGCACTTTAACAGAACCTAGCAGTGCATACGGAGTGGCAGAATTGGTGTGTAGTGGCGGAGCACACGTGACTGACTTACCACCCACACTCAGCATATGACAGTACAGTTGATCAAGAGCATCTATCATCACAGCGTCACTTCTGTCATTACATAACTAGACTACATATCTGTACTAAATGATCAGTTTTTATTAAAGAGCCCATGGTGCAGTAAAATGCTGGGTAGAAAATAAGTCGGTGTCATTCTTGAAACTGCTCTGAAGAAAAGTTTGTATATCAGTGTACATCTCCAGCATTTTAATACATTATGAGACTGGCAGGCGTTATAGCTTGAGCTGCACAGTGGAGAGAGACAGTGAATGAATCCCAAACCTTGATCTGAAACAGGTTCTTCCTCCCTCATCCTCAGTTCAGCAAGGCCAGTGCAGTCACTGTGCACATAAAACATGAATAAATGAAGCACTCCAGATGAAGCAGTGTGTGTGTGTGTTTACAGTAGATTCTGGTTCCTGTGCCTCTTTTAGTCTTTCTTATAGGACAGCAGATTGTGTTTTCCAAGTCTTGGATCCAAAAACAGTTAAGCTGAAGGCTTCCCACTGCCTCTAACTGCCTTTTTCCTTTTCTTCCTTCCCTCTTTCTCATCAACTTCCATCTCCATAACGCCTTCTGGAAATTACTTCTTGTCGCTGTTTTGGAATATTTGTTCATAGGGCGGTGGTGGGTGGTTGCAGTAGGATGGAGGTGGAGGATAGGAGCTCATCATCATATGGGCAGAGCCAGGCTGTGCTGGGTACGCCGGGTGTGTCATAGTAACCCCTGGGTCACCACCGGTCATCCCATTCACCCCATAGCCCTGCATACTTCCTGGCTGCTGAGAAACTGGACAGAAGAAGTGAAATTGTTATTTAGTATCAGCTAACATGCTTTTACAGATAGTCCAGTCACCCCAGCCTAGACTTCTGTAACTTCCACATGTCAACTGTCACTGTCAGTTTTAGTTTGTACTTTCCACCTGTTAATTTGTGAATTTGCATGAACCTTGCGGTACCTGGTGTGGTGACAGGGTGCCTGGTGAAGGAGACGTTGAACGCTGGCTCGTCTCTCAGAGGGGACGGATACATCCGCCTGCGGATGAAGAAACCAGCACCACAGCAGAACAGAACTCCCATCATCAGCAGCACCCTAAAAGACAAAAAAGGACCTTTCACCAATCCAACATTATCAGCACACCAATGGAAAGGCTGGGGTGCAAGGCAGATGCTTTAGTCTGTGTTCCAACTGAATTTTGAATGATAACCTAAATGCACTGCATCCCTGATGGCCTGGTGGTTAGGATAGAGTGCTCTCACTGCTGCCGCCTGGGTTTGATTCCCAGTTGAGGAACCTCTAGCCACAGGGGTTTCACACCAGTGACTTCTGTGTCAGTCCCAAGCCCAGATAAATAAAGAGGGTTGCGACAGGAAGGGCATCTGGAGTAAAAACGTGCCAAATTTCGCACCATGTGAATCATCATTGTGGAAACAGATGATTCACGGGACCAGCCAAAAGTGGAGGAGGACTCTAAATGCATTGCATGCATTATTTTCAACAAGGTCACATCTAACTGCCTACAGCAACAAGAGAGGATTATTGTCTCCCCTGCTGTGAATCTCTCAATTTAAACATGCATTTCAATATTGTCTATGCTTCCAGAAGTTGTGCTGGTACTAAGGAGAATTTTACAGGTTTAAAAATAGTTTCTCATTTCTGGTTCATCTTTTTTTGTGTGAGCAGCCCTGAACAATCACCACAGTAATTTCCTTTCTATAGACCAGAAAGGTTCACAAGGTCTTAACTGCTCTCTTCTGAAAACTTGTGGCTGACTCAAAGGAAAACTTACATTGGCATTTGAGGACTTTGAATGACCAACCAACCACCTGGTCAATAACTGTCCACTGACTTGGATGTATGGTACCACTGTGAGCAAATGCAACTGTAAAACTGTCAGACAATACAAGTTTACTCATGTTTACCGACTTGGAAACCGACTGACTTGTAAACATGAAAAGCAAATTTTTTACCTGGAAAATAATGGGGGGGGTTTCCACAGAAGTCTAAGTTGTGTCCACATGACCTACAGTAAGTATGGAACATAGTATGCACAGGCAGTTGTAAGCTGTAGAAAAAGATTGTAAGTGGGCCCTGAGTTAAGTTTAGCTTTATCAAAAAGTCACATTAAAATTCCTGAGCGTGCACATGTGATTTCAGCAGGTAGAGACCTCATCTCACAACGCAGCAATGCTTTCCCTCCTTACAGTATCTCACATGAAGTAACTTGTTTTTTAAAATGACAATTTTTTTGCATCTTGCCTTTATTTGGCAGTGTAGCGAGACAGGAAATGTAGAAAGGGACAAAAAAAAAAGTGGTTATAACACACAGTACAGGTCTCCTACCCGAGAAATAAACCATATTTTTGTCTTGTGTACAGAAAATATCTTCCTCTCCTGCAAAATATAATATTTATTTTTAGTAGCATTTCTAAAAAATTATTTGCAATCAGCTTATAAAATACCCACCAAGTGTTAACAGTGTTTACTTCATCGTGGTCAGGAAAAGAAACTCCTCACTGACAAAGATTTCCCACATGCCCTTAATACCTCTGTGCTTAGTATATTCATGGTTCGCTCCACGATTATAAGACTCTTTATTTATTTAGTAGTATTTTAACTGTGAAAAGAAACTCCTCACTGATAAAGAACTCTAAATCTCAGTGAGGCACTTTTTTGTCTGACCCAGCTTATAACAGGGCATTTTGTTCTATCCATCCAAAACGAGAAAAGCACACAGCCCAAACTGTAACTCACCAGAAGTACCACAGTCTCTGGATGGACAGGGCTCTCACACAGCAGCGAGTCCCACAGCAGTCCTCGTAGGAGCGGCATCTGTAACGAAAAGCCATATACAGTACATACACATGTATAGATTTATGTAAAAAATTATGGATTTTCTTTTTTTTACTTTTTTCTACTGGCCTGTAGATGCAGCAGTCCACCTGGATCTGTACCGGTATGTGCAATGGCCAGTACATCACTGGTGCACACACTCACATTCATCAACAATGTACTTGAACAGACACCAACACACAATCATGGTGATGAAATCAATACTTTGTTATTTCAGAGCCGAGGAAAGAACTAAGAAAAAAAAAAGTTTCCCTCTTGCACTGAATCACTTACTGTCTACAGTATTTGCTGTTTTATTGCAGCACAGAGATCTTGTTATAGTGCACTTGCATTTCCACTGCTACAGGCCTCAAAGCAGCAGACACAGGTGTACTGCAGCGCTGCCGTTAATCACACTTTCTGCTTCGTAAACAAAAGTTTTGGCTTAAATGGCAGTCCCAGCAGCCTGGGAGACAATTATTCAGAAAAGATTGATTGATCAGTCTGTGGAGAGGGACATGAAACCTGCATTAATATAGCTGAAATAATAAGGTTTGTTTGTGTGTGTGTGTGTGTGTGTGTGTGTGTGTGTGTAGTGTGATGGATGACTTTGGACAGCCAGCATGACGGTACATTCCTCAGACTACCTTTCCTGTCTGGTATTTCAAATGAGCAACCACTGTTCCTGGAGGCCCCAGGGTCCACAGCTTGAAAACCAGTAATCTTTACACTGTGTCACATATACATCAGTCCCTTCATGTTTGCATATGTACACCTTCTTTGTACCAGAGGTATGGCACAGAGTTAGGAATATATTTAGCTAAGAGATTCTTAAAGTACTATGTCAACCCTGTGACAGACTGACACCTGTACAGGGTGTACCTCGTCTCTCACCTAATGTCAGCCAGGAGTGGCTCCAGCCCCCCTGTGACCCTGTTCAGGAATAAGTGGTAGATATAATGGATGAATGGATGGTTTCTCAAAGTCCAATTCACTGATTCCTGACTTTGAAATTAGTTTTTATTATTTGAAGTTATTTTCCTGTATTGATAAGATACACAAGTCATAATTACAAGATTAAACACAGTGGTGGAAGAAGTACTCTGATCCCTTACTTAAGTAAAAGTGTAAGTGTAAAAATGCACACGCTTTTACAAGTAATAGTCCTGCATTCAAAATGTTACTTATGGAAAAGTACAAAAGTATTAGCATGAAAACATACTCAAAGTACGAAAAGTAAAAGTATATATTATGCAGAATGGCCCATTTCACATTGATGTATATTATTTCCAGCACTTTGAACTGAACCTGTATGAAAGGTGCTATATGAATAAAGTCTGACTGACTGACTGATTGATTGATTGATTGATTGATTGATTGATTGATTATGGAAATGAATGTTTACTATGTACTGTAGCAGCGTTTCAGCTGCTGCATGTACTGTATGCACTCTATGACATCCCCCTCCCCTCATTAGATGTTTTTTTTTTTGGATTCCCCAAATCTTGTGTTCGTGTGTCATTGAGCTGTGGATCATGGAGGACTGGGCAAGAACAGTGCTGGTCATTCCACTTTCAAAGCTTTTCAGAGCAGCTGTGTTTTATTTTGTAATGCATTTAACTTTTTTACAGCTGCCATAAACTGCAGGAGAGCAAGACACTGGCCTTGGTACATCTGTATAAGAGACAAACATTATTTAGAAAGTCTGATCATTAGGTCAGCAGATCAGAATGATGTACAGAAGTTGCCATCAATCCCAGACATGCTGTATGATGTTCTCCACATACTGAGTTGTACATTTCAAGATTTTTGTGTGCAAAGTTTCACGTTAGGTGGTTTAAAATTGTAGAACACTGTGGCACTTACATAAAGTAGATAGGATATCCACCTTCAAAATACCAACAGTACTTTTTGGCTTCTACACACTGTAAAAGAGAGGGACAGATTAAAGTTCAGTGTTTATTAAAGAATGACACTATTCACACAAAGAGCATTTTTATGCCAAACTTGCATCTTCCACAAAGCAGCGAAACAACACAGTAAAGATGGACAGACAAATCTTTTATACTGAAACAAAGGACAGACAAACTGGCACAATTAGCCACTTTTAGCTAGCATGGATTGTGAAAACCAATCACACAAAAGGGTTGAGAAACACCACCGGTTTCTCTTTGCCCAGTGAGAGTGAACCAGAAGATCACAGAGGTTCCACATCCGACTAGTTTAAACTAGACTAGACCCCAGGCTGCAGCTGGCTTTGTAGGTGTGGAGGACCAAGCAGCCGTTTTAGAGAAAAGGAAAAATAAATTATACACTATAATTGTAAATATGGTGCTTATGGATTCAGTACTGAAACAAAGAGAAGTAAGGTAAAAAAGTGTGTTGCAACAAATATTCTGATAATCACAGAAATAAATGTTTGTTAATGAATGAAACTACACTTTGGACCTTGTTCTTTATTGTTTATTGTATCGTGGCAGGAAAGATCTGAGCAGCAGTTTTTCTGAGATGCACACCAGATCAGGCAACATTACCTAAAGCATTTGTTTATATTGTACTTATCACTATAACGATAAGCACCTGTACTGTAGTCAGTCCAAGGAATATAGGCTGGTGTCACTTATACAGTAGTAAATATTTATCCTTTATGCCTCCTATAAGTCTATAAATAAAGTCATTGTTGCAAGATTTCCAGCCTTTTTCCTTAAGCATCCTATCATAAAACTAGATTGCTGTTCTCCATCATTATCACAACTGTGAAATTCATTATATCATGCAACAGTTAGAGTAATATTCCTGCTATCATTATTATTATTATATTTTTCCTTAACTCTAAAATGTTACTCCGTTCTCCGTAAACTTTTCTTCCATTGTGCTAAGAACCAACAGGTTTGTTGAGCTGTAATATAAAGCAGGAGTTCATTTTATATAGAGGAGTCTCCAATTCATTCCTGTCTCTGCTACTCAGGGGTTCATTTGTGCCAGAACACACCAGAACTGGATTCAGAAGAATAAAATTAGAATAATTAAATACAATACAAGTTAGGCTAATTACATCACAATGTAACCAGGTCACACTGGGCCAGGTGCACATTCACTGTTATGCTAGACAGAGCAAAAAAGATTGAATTTGCTGAAGTATTTCAAGTTGCAACAGAGTGAAGCTAGTCAGAAATCAGAAGCTAAACAGGCCAGTTATAAAGCCTACAGGTGTTAATGAAAAGGTCAGTAGGCTACAAGCCGGTGTGATGATGAGGTCTGAAGCAAAGCACAGATTAACATGAAAGAGGACTCCTGCCCCATCACTGCATTATGGGCTGTTTTAAATAACTGAAGATAAGAACATGTTTATTTAAATCATACTGCATTATATGAAAATGTTAAGGTGTAGTGGAGTAATAAGGCCCCAAATGTCATGTTTGCTATTGATTAAACAGATAAGAGGTCAGAGGCCCCCAGTCTTAATTTATTCAGCATCACTCTCACACGACATTTATAACTCGTACACGTGTCTTCTTGTGATGTGTGATGTGATTTTTTTGGCCGCTACAAACATAAGAAATTATGTTTTGCCTCTAAACTGCTCCCTTAGTGTAGAAACTACGAGAAATGCACAAGTCATGTAGGACATTTTTCATTCCGTGACTTCCTCTCGACATGCTGGGTCCTTCAGCCAATGATATTTCGGGACCTTATAATTTACAAAATAAGCACTGCACCTACAGGCTTCTGATTTGGAAGGCATAAGCCTACTGTGTCTTATAGAGAGATGTTCCTTAACTAATCTGATAACTGCTGACAGTAATATGCAGAGCAGCCAGGATCTCCCTGGATCCTTTCATTTCATACTGCTCAGAGCAGCAACGCATGGTCGGCTGGGGATCGCCTTTAATTAGCCGTCTTTGAATGATCTTCTGTCAAGCTACAACCAGCTTTGTAGTGGTGTATCAAGGACTTCATCATTCAGCACACAGAAAGAAGCAGTACAGGACATGCAGAGAGTGAGAGGAAATGAAGAAAGAGAGAGGGAAAGTGATACAGGGGAGAAAAGGAGTCAGATGAAGGCAGAAAGAGGAAAGCATGCTACATGACGTGCACCATGCTGCAGGGACATGGCTTCCTACAGGGTGGCACCAAGCCACAACATGTCTCAGAAGGCTCACTGCTGTTATTATACTGCAGTCATACTACCCAGCCTAACATCTGGAAGCTTTTATATTCTTCAGCGTAGGAGTAAAATTAAAGGATTTTTATTTTTATCTCTCATTTAAGTCCACATTTTTACTTCTAGCAGTGTGATCACTAAGGTCCAGAAGAATACAACAAAATCCAACCACATCTCTGTCACTGTGTGGAGCGCAGAGCTGCAGAGTGGCAGCTCATGCTGTTTTGGTGGCTCACTACTTGCCAACACAATAGGTTATTTGTTAGACCAGTGGCGAAGAATGGGACCACACTGTGTCACTTTGGCTGAAAAGTAATGTCAGAAACACGCACAGCAAGAGAGGCTGAAAGAAAGACGGCAGGGGAGATATAAAGGTACAGCTGCAGTAAAGAAAAACACCCCATCCCATCTCAGTGAGATGATAAAACACCCACTCTACTTGTCCAAACTGTTCTGCTTCACTGTGGTCGCTGATGGGAAATCCTGTCCACACATGAAGTGCACAATCCATTTTTCAGTGTTAGATACTGTCATCTACAGAATAGTGAGCAAGTCCACTTAACTTGTTGTTTGTTTTTCTTTCTTTAGTTTTAAAATCTCAAAAAATAAAAATCACAGAGCAGCTGAAATGCTCTCTGATTCCTATGACAATTGACATTCTATCAACACAACAGATCAGCAGGGATCGGCCTCGCAGATGCATGACTGAGTTCAGATTTGATAGCAATCTGTCGGCTGTATAAGAAGCTATCTTGAGTCCAAAGCTGACATCTTGACCTGAGAGACGTGCTAGAAGGAAGCTTGGGGAGTTTTTTTTAAAGAAAGTTAAAGAAAATTTCATTAAACACTTGAAACAAGGAATCCAGACTATGGAGTATTCATCAAAGTACATGTCAGCTATATGCTTTGAGCTCTATAGCTAAAGGAGGTTCATTTTCTAGGTGACCTTGAATATATGTACCAAATCTAATGGCAATCTTTATAGATGCTGAGATGTTCAGTGGATAGATTACACCACTGACAGGTTGATGGTGCTCGATGAAAAGGCAGGGGAATCACAAAAATCATTTGGATGCATTCACTGGGGAACACAAATATGTGTACTAAAGTACCAGGGATTCTCTCTAATGGTTGTCTAGATAGCCAAGTCTATACCAAATTCTAAATTAAAACCGTTCATTCTATACATTACTATGTATGGAATGTGTAGAAACAGGACAAAACTCCAATACTCATATAAAAGGGCAAATGCGTGTTTTTGATAAACAAGGGCAAGGTTAAATAACAAAGATTTAATTTCACAGTTCTTAAATGTCTTGCTATCCATCTACATCAGTGTGGACCTGATTGTCCCTAACACTCTGCAGCAAATGGTCACTGTCCAGCTCTGTTCATTGTCTTTCTCTAATTAAAGTTCAGTGAATGTGCTGACAGTGAGAGAAAATGTCCATCCGTGAAGCCGCATGGGGAAATGACCGCTACAGAATCACAGAATGTGTTTTCCTGCTTTAAAAGACATTTAAATGCTGCAGAGATGAGACTGTGAAAGCAGGCTGGCCAATAAAAAAAAATATCCTTGGGAAAAGCCACCAATTACTGAACACTGCTTTGTTTCAATACAGGACCTTCAAACTCATTAGAATTCTGCTGGCTTGCAGTGTTTCACAAAGGTTTTTTAATGGGGTATGTTGCACACCAATCATGAAAAAGTTTTCTTGTTATCCTCAATTCCAAGGCAGTATAATTTGTTGTTTTGGTCTAAATGGCGTTTCAGCCTGCCAGGGGAGCAGGAATAAACTCTATATCCTTTTAACAAACACTTAGACACAAGTTAGAATTGGTAGGAAATAGCTTGGCATTAAAGAGAAGTAAGTCAAAAAGAGATTTTGAATATTGACCCAGTTGCAAAAAAACATACTAGACTGTGTGCTGAGTTGCTTCAACAACAACATGTTTAACTTCAGGGAAAAAAGGAAAGCAAACTCCACGGGACTTTAACTACAGTGACAATCAAGCTGCTTGTCGACGTTTATGGAAGACTTAAAATGTCTAAATTAAGACAATTTTAAAAAAGGTGAAGTATAACAACAAGTCAAGCCGGTGCCTTTCTGTTCGAAGTTTGCATGTCCTCCCTGTGCCTGCTCTGGGTTCTCTCTGGGTACTCCGGCTTCCTCCCACAGTCCAAAGATGTGCTTTAGGTTTATTGGTGACTCTAAATTGCCCACCAACCAGCAAAGAAAAACCACATGCACACACACAATATAGAACCTCTCGGTTTCGTGACATGCGTATCTCAAAAACGCATCCGAGTCCATTCAAGTTCAGGACTGTAGTTCTGAATTGGATCCGCTTATATGCACTGTACTTATATGGCCAGTAAGAGTAATATACACTAGAAACAAGTCACATTTGGTTTGGTTTTAGTAAACTTTTTAATAGGGAATAGTGTAGCCAACTTGAATTTACTGTCAAACAAAGCTAAATATTAACACAGTATTTAGTGTCATTTAGCATAACACAAAGTTGTTTTAATTTAGAGGCTAACTACCTCTAAACTGACTCGATGCATACAGGAAATGCTGGCTAAGGTTTAGTTTGGAACAAAGATGCTAAAGTAATGCTTTGCTAAAAACAAGATAAAGTGCTTCCACGTAGTGTTTGTCATTGTGACACAAGAAACCAGAGCAGAACACAGGGCCAGACTCAGGTATTTTCATAAATGATAGAATCACAAAATCCATCCAAAGTGCAAAGTCCCTGAGCCAGTCTCTCAGCAGCTTAGGGAGCAATAGTGGATGTCAGCTGCCCAGAGAGGCCTGAGAAATAACTCTTGCTGCCCTACTGCAACTCAGCTGTGGGGGATTACATAACATCAAGTATTTCAAATTAAGCTACATTTTTATAATTGTGCAATTAACTGTCACACAGTAGTAAAAAAAAAAAAGGCCAAAGATTTGTAACAACTGTCCAAAACAAGCTTCTGCACACTGTTCAAATGTTCAAAATAAAATTCTAATGTACAAAACCTTTGGCAACATAGATGTTAATTACACTGTGGGGCTTGGCCAGTCGACAACAGCCATGTCTCTGGAATGATCTTAATTATAATTTTTCCAGCTGGTAATTACATCTGACATAAATAATATGTTTCTGGAATCCAGAAGGATCATTAGCGGTAACTTAACCCTGATTTAGAATATGCACACACACTCTGCCTATGATACAAATGAAGCTCAACACACATGCTGTTCAAAAGTTCAGAGTGAAAATTATATTTATTATTAAGAGTCAGTATTATACAGCACCATTCTGAGGTGTCATGTAAAATGAATACCTGCAAGTTGTTACCATGGAAATCTTTTCCATCCAACATGATGTGAGTGAATAACAAATCCAACCACTAATGTAATGCTCTATTCATGCCATATTAGCATGTCATTAGTAATGTTTTCTAAACACAAAACTGATTGTTTTCTATAACTAACCTCCACATTATGATGCTACCCACAAGTATAAATAATGGACTAAGCAATTTGAGTTTAATATTTCTCTCTCATATTATGTATCCAAGTAAAATTTCTACATCAAAAAGTTACTGTGATTTTACTTTGCTGAAGAATTTATAATTTTAACAACTTTTTTCATTGTTTTTATTTTTCACTTTCTGCTTTGTGTATTACTTCTAATCCCTGTTGCCTGCACACACACTGACAGCCTCTGTACCGGAGTCAAATTCCTTGTATGTTCAAACCATTGAAGATGATTGTGAAGTTTTAATACTAATTGTTTACAGCGGGTTAACATTCTGTAGGAGAGGTTTCCTCGAAGAATGTTGATCATTAAGCAAAAACAGCACCTAACCACACAAATGGATCCAATGCAACAAAATGCACTGCTAAGCACAATCATACAACAGAAAGCCTTTAGAAGGCAATGAGATTACACTGTGAGGGTGTGTTTGTCACACTCCTGTCCCCTTTATCTCCATCTATAAAACTGAATAAGCAAGCAGCTGAACTCTAAAAGCCATATTTCCATTCAGCGCACAGCACAACTTATGTTGATGTAAGTATAATGTAGACTGATGAAAGGTGAACACCTGACAGTTTATGGTAAGTCTGAGATACCCCACACTGAAAACTGTCCAGAGGAAAAACGTGCTCCATTCAGGTAAAATATGGCCTGACCTAGCTTCACATTTACGTGTACACAATCACTACGAGACCTTCGCCACCACTGCCGTACATTTATATGTATGGAGGAAACTGGGATGTATGGAAAATGTTTTGGAAAAAAGAAAATGAAATGTATTGCCTTTGAATTACTGTTCCACTGTACTGTACTTTCCCAGTATCTTAAATTGTAAATCTAAGGTTTGGTGTCTTAGTAGTATAACAGAACAGAAGCAGTAAAGAACAGCTGCGATCAACATTTGACCTTTTAAGTAGGAAGACTGACTGTAGTGTAGACAGACTCTGGACATCATCTATGCTTACAGTAATGCAGCACATTCATTATTCTTGCTCAAGTTTTCAAGTGTAGGTTTTTTTTTTGTTACTGCTACTGTATTTATATCTTTTTCACAGCAGATTAATGAGCATTATTACATAATACTGACTACATTTATTTGTTTTCATTTTGTATGCCGCAGTAGATTGTAAGGCCAGAATCTATTGTGCATCCTTTTGTTATTAGAGGAAATCATGTTGCACTGAACATGTTGTTTCAGAGTCAGAGGAATTCAATTAAAAAAGATGCTTAAAGGCTAAAATTTCATGCTCCATTGTGCCTAGGCTGTTTTGAGACACCTATCTTCCCCATTATCCTCCATGTGTGGAATATCAATATTAACCAGACTACTGACCTGCTGCAGTCAGACGTGCTGTTTCTTTGACAAATTCTGTGTACACACAATGCAGAAATATGCAAACTCTGCTCTTTTATTAAAACAGGGTTATAAAGCCAGACATAGGAATTGTGTTTCATAAATCTCAGTCTTTCCAAAACTGGGAACTACTAGCCTGATTTGCACTCTGGGTAGCTCCACACGGATGTAGACATGCGATCAGTCACCTGTTTTTACATCAGCACTTCTGCCTGCTCCACGCTCGTTAGACGTGTCAATAAAAGAATGACAAAGACAAAGCACACATTGATAGACTGTGTGCTGTGCTAGCAGGGTTCCCTAACAGTGAGCGGCTGCCACTACACAGCTGAATCATTACTATATGTGCTTTGAACCTAAAGTGCACACATTTTTAAATAAATACTATACTGTATGTTTGGGAATGTGTAAACCTCGTACCACTGTTAATGAGGAAACCTTGCCCATTACTGCCTTTATCTAATGTGTGTCACAGGGTTTTGACACAACGTGCAGCAGCTCCAAGGCTGAATACCTAATTAAATGAATGTGAATAGAAACTCGTCAGGCATGAACAGCAAACATGACATGTTTGAGATGAAAAATGGACTTCCGATTTGTATTTCCACAAGAACTGGTGTGACTTTGGCTTACACAAACTGACTGGGGGATTCGCCTGGGTAGCTTTCAAAACAATATGCTGTACAATAAATCACTGCGTTACACTTCTGGCAGTCAACGCTCCAAAATAGGGCAAAATATCTCAATCCAGACATTCAGGCTGAATCATATTTAACAATTATCATTCATCAGAGTAAGCAGAGCAGTACCAGCACAAGGTCTAAGCAGCTCAATTCCCTCTGCACTCCCTGATCACACTTAAAAAGGATGTGGTCAGAAAGTCAAATAAAATCAAATCATGTTGAGAGTTAATAAAACATGAACAGAGTATCGGTGCCAATGAACTGCAGGAAAACGGGACCGTGACCATATTTGTTGCATTCATATACCCGTAAAAGAGCTGACTGTTTTCCTTTCATCCTCCTTTAAGACCCTTAAATCCCCAAGGACATGCAGAACAAAATGATACCCATTTAGAAACACCAAGACTCAAGGTAAACAACAGAGGAGCCCGGCCTTCGCCGACATGATAATGGTTTCACGTGGCTCCTGACATAAAGGGATATGAAACATATCATGTAAAACATAATGAGATCATTGCCTAAAATTGCACCCAGCCTCCTGCCTGTGTGTGTGTGTGTGTGTTCTACAGTAACTTAGTGAGTAGCCTAGCTGCAGGGTCTGGGCACAAAGACAAAGGATGAATCTCAGGTACTGTAACTCTCAGGCACCAAGTGGCCTTCCCTGTTTGCGCTCACTAAACAATGTGATGTGGTTTTATCGCCAAAAATCACTGCAGTAAATATGCCCCAGCACTATCGCCTCTTTTTTAATAGGTAGATTTCTGCTTTTGTTCTCGTCCTATGCAGGGACTTGCATCACGATCGAGGTCGGAGCAGTGTCGGCCAATCTAAAAGTTAAGATTTTATTGATATTAGGTGTTTCTTAGTGGGTCAGTTACATGCCGAAGTTAAAAGAAGATGCCATATAAAATATATGAAACCAAATGCGTCCGCTCAGATGTGCGTAATTTGTGCGCTAAGTGAGGGAATACTGAATTACGTTCGTTTTAAATTGTGTTGGGCAACCAAGGCTGTGGAAACAATACCGAGAGGCACCTTCGCAGCTACAACGCAAGCAGCCTGCTGGCAGCACAGTAAGTCCCAGCAAAACCACTTATTACCTCGACAGATCAAACGCACCAGGGGGTCAACAGCAGTCTCCCAACCAGACGCACTCGTCTGTCACAGCTCTAACAATAACGGCCCTCACGGTAACAATGACAAGCGTCGCTCACCTCCAGAAATAGCCACAATGTCAGGGCTACATCGGCCAATGGATTCTTCATCTCTCCGCCTGTAGGAGAGTGAAAACAAGATCCGCTTCTGGGTGTCCCTTTATCACTATATCGGTTTCATCCTGATACTGGAGACGCCTCAAGGGAACATCCAGCCAGAACTCCTCCGGATGAGAGAAACCTGGTCCTCAGACGGAGGTACACGCCGTGCAGGAAGCTGCATTGGCCTGTGATGTTGGCTCCGTCCACGCCTCTTTACCACCCCGCCCGTCCACATGATCATTAACCTATTTTTATACTGAGATCTTCCTGTTTGTGATATTCACTGTGCAGTAAAACAAAACAAACAAGCAAAATGCAATTGTACAAAGTCTACAAGCAAAAAGGACCATATACTCTTAACCTTTAGGATTAACAAATTCAAAAGATTGTCAAATTCTAGTAAATAATGAGCCTACATATAGGGCTTCACAAATCATTTCTGAAACGTTATCCAGGAAATAGTCTACTTGTAGCAGCTTTATGCCAGACTAGTACGTTTTCTAAAAGCCAATAGACAGTAAATTAATAATAAAATAATAATGATATTTACACTACTTTCTGCTAGTGGACACTTTCTACACACAAATGGCATGTGAAACACCTGCTCCTCTTCTCTGCATTCATACTGACCAACTCCTGACTTCAGTTTTTTAAATTTCATTAATTTTTGTAGGATGCCATCATCCTAGGGGTTCACATACCGTTTACAGTCAACACTGTGAATGTTTGAATGTTGTATCCAACATTGACAAGAACCGATGACTTGTGTGTTATCACCACCTTTATTTATTCATTCTGACTGGTGCCCTGACATATAGTTAAGACCTTCAGAACAGTAAAACATAAACACATGAATCATATAAAATCAGTATCAAAAATCCAAAATGACACATTAAAAACAATAAACTATAAAAACACAAAGTCAGGATTGCAGAACAAGATAATCTTGTGAATGCAAGTATTTCTAAAGAGTTCACTTACTTTTTCTTATCACTGTGTTGTTGGCATGCACTGACACTTTAAACTCAGTACGGCTCTCTCTCACCCTCATGGCATCAGTTGCTTAGAGACTGTCTGATTTACCATTGGCTTGTAAAGAGTTTGTTCTGAAAGGACTGTGTATTGTTTTCTTTGTTCATACTTCTGCCTTTCTCTGGTTTCTAATGACACCCCCCCCCGCTGATCTACCTAGAATGTATATTTCCGAACGGCTTCATCCTATGTGTCAGCTGTAGAGATCCTGGGGTCTTCCAGTTTCAGCACCACGGACAGCACCTGACCTGAGGCACCTGGCACAGACGCTGACAGGAAAAACAGTCATTACAAAAAAACCAGGGTTGGGTGACCTTGGTGCTGTGACCGCCTGTTAAAAGGCTGGTCAGGTGATGACATCTAAGCAAGTTTTATTCAAGAGTTAAAGTTTAGTGTGCCTAACAAGCTAAACTAGTGCTAAATTAGTTCAGAAAGGTGCATACACCCCTCCTGTTTAGCAGTCAATAAATTACCTGTTACAGTTCATGTCATTTTCAGAAGACCTATTGTGACATCATGTCAAATGTATTTTTGTATTTTATATGTTTGCATTTTAAAAAACTGCTCATTTAACAAAAATTGGGAGCCCAGGTCTGCATAACAGCTGATAAATAAATATATCTCTCCCATATTAGCTTCTCTCCACTGGCTCCCTGTGAAATTCACAATAGAATTTAAAATCCTTCTCCTAACATACAAAGCCCTTAATGACAAGGCTCCATCGTATCTTAACCACATCCACCTGTACCAACTGCCCTGCTTGTGAGTAACTTTATATGAGTTGATAAAGGAGGCAAAGCTTTTTTAGTAACTTCTTGGTCCCTCCTCTCACCGTCACAAAGGGTTTATTTAATACTGTCGACGTGAATTGAGTTACCACCAGAGTACATCGAATCTCAAATACCACTTGCTGGCCGAGCACACAGCTGATGCTGAGAGCCCCCCTCTGGTCAAAGGCAGACCATGTTGGATAGTTTGCAATAAAGACTCCTGGACAACTCTACAAGCAACAGACTTTCAACAGTGATAGCTAAATGGATGGCTAAAGCTTGCAGGCTGATTAACACTGTGGAGGTCGAGGGTCTGCTTGAAATAATTCTCATCACATCCAATGTATCCATGTATGAACTGCCTTCGAGAGCCACCGCTGTAACCAAGATACACAACCTGTATGAAGATGAGAAGCTACAGTGGAAGAGGTGCTGAGACGGACAAACACAGTTGGCTCACCACAGACTACTGGACTTCTCCCAGTGATCACAGTTACCTCGGGCTTCTTTCAAGGTATATTTAGAATCAGTGGTGGAAGAAGTACTCAGATCCCTTACTTAAGTAAAAGTAGCAATACAACAGTAAAAGTCCTGCATTCAAAATGTTACTTAAGTAAAGGTACAAAAGTCTTAGCATCAAAACATACTTAAAATATTAAATGTACTCATTATGCAGAATGACACATTTCACCTTCCTGTATATCGTATTGTGTTACTGATGTGTTGAAAAGTAACTAAAGTTATAAAATAAATTTAGTGGAGGAAAAAGTACAATATTTGTAAAATTGTATTTAAGTACAGCACTTGAGTAAATGTGCTTTCCACATTTTACTTTCCACCACTGTTTAGAACGTTTTCTTATTAAAAGTATGATTATTAACTATGGACAATCATGCAA